CTACTGCCTCTGGCCTTCAGATACATGAACGAACTCATACTGGAGAGAAGCCCTATGAATGTAAGCAGTGTGGGAAAGCCTTCACTCAGTCCTCTCACCTTCACTCACATGAAAAAACTCATAGTGGAGCAAAGCCCTATGATTGTAAACAGTGTGGTAAAGCCTTTGCTACATTTCCTACACTTCACAGACATGGAAGAACACATACCAGAGAAAAGCACTATGAATAACAACAATGTGGAAAACCTTTTGCCACATCCTGTCTGCTTCACACACGTGAAAGAACAGATACTGCAGAGAAATTGTATACATGAAAACAATTGGTAAACTTTTCTGTTATTACTGTTTTACTCATATACATGTAGGAAGTTACTGGAGAAAAATTTTTTGAATGTAAAACCTGGTAAATCAATATTTCATGTCATCCTCAAAGACAAGGAAGTACTCACACTGTTGAAAATATGTGTGTGTGTGTGTGTGAGAGAGAGAGAGAGAGGGAGAGACAGACACTGGGTATTTAATCTGGTTGTGCTCTACCACTTAGCTATATTCCAGTTACTTTTCATTTTGAGATAGAGACTTGCTGCATTTCTTAGCGTTTTTCTAAAGTACTGAGGCTAGCCTCCAACATTGATCCTTCAGAATCAGCCTCTCAAGTCTCAGCAATTAAAGGCATACACCACCACTTCCAACTGAGTAACTCTTTAAATGTATAAAATTATCACAAATCATCCCATTTTCCCTATTGCCTTCAAAGCCATTTCATTCACATTGAAAAATAAACCCTCTAAATGTAAGCAGTGGGGCAACACCTTTGCTACATCCCATCAGCTTCATAAACATGGAAGAATACATTCCAGAGAAAAGCCCTGGAATACATACCAGAGAAAAGCTACATCCTATCAACTTCCCCTCCAGCCCTGTTTTTCTTCTCATATATGAAAACACACAGAGAAGCCCTGTGAGCGTGAGAAGTGTGAGAAATCTAGTTTTCTCAATCTTTTACTAAGGCCTCAGGAGATTCTTTTGGAATAAAAAGAATAAATCCTATGCAAAAAAAAATATGAGTTGTTGAGCTGTTCTAGTTTTATTCGTTTGTATGAAAGGACTCATACTGTAGAAAATGCTGAGGATAAGCCATGTGAGGCAGTATTCAGCTTTCAGAGTTTTCTTCAAAGACATAAAGAATTCACATCTAGGAAGATCCTTTTTCTCTCTTTCAATTGTAGTAAGACAAAATTGTAGTAAGACTTTCAACTTTCCAGGTCCCTTAGAACAGCATTTAAGAAACCACACTGGAGAAAAGCCCTGTGTGTAGACATGTGGTTGGACCTTTGCTTGTTTCAGATCCATTTGAACTTGTTCAGACTTGAGGATATTTTTATTTTATTTCATTTTATTTATTTATTTTGAGAAAAAACTGTAGGTGTGTGAAAAGGTTTGTGCCTTCATTTCTTTGTTTATCTATTCAGATGTACCAAAAATGCACCCTGGGTTGAGGAGGAGCATTGCATCAGCATGAAGATTTTAAAACAACATGTTTTTCTTGGTTAAATCTCTCTTATTTTTAGATTCCATTTTCCTGTATTTTAAATCTTTTGTGTCTAATGTTTGATTACATATTCTGTATGTTAGTTTAGGCCTCTCCACTCCAAAGTACAGATTGGTGAAATGTCTCTTCTGAACTTCTTTCTCTCTGTCTTTGTTCACATTTCACCCAGGAGTGCTCCACCACTGAGTTTCTCCACAGTCTTTTTAAAACTGGAGTGAGGCTGGCAGCTGGCACTATAGGTATGTGTCTGTGAAACCTGAAGCTGGCCTCTTTCTTTTCCTTGATTGCTTATTGAGCTGTTGATGACTCTGGGACCCCACTCTTGTCACTTGTGCTTGTTCTAAGTCTCATGTATTGTGCTGTATGTAAGCACATTAAAGAGCATTATAACATAATGTCATTTGTGTATATTACTTGGAGAGGCACTTTCTCAAAATATGTTTTGCCCTATGCTTGAGTAGCTTTCTCTCTTCTTTCCCCAGTTCTGGCGACCCAATCCTGCCTTGTGCATTCTAGGCAGGCATTCTTGCATCCAGCACTCTCATAGCTCAGGTGATGAGTTTTCTGGTGCTGTGTGTGTGGACTCCACTGATGACCACATCAGCAGATGCAGCTCTGCAGGTGTTTCCTCCACAATTGCAGATGGTCTCTT